TTCATAAAACGCAAACATTTCCGAAAAAAGAAAGGAAAACAGTACACACAAACATTCAGCAAAACAAACATTCACTCAAACAAACAACACATGCCTGCAGTGAACAATGCACACCTTTTACAATTGTGGCATATGTTACATGTTACATTCCATTGCTCCATGGCTTTTGTAAATCTACTTTACAAAATCACTATATGTTCAATGTCACAATGTGTGATTTGTTTTTGTGTTGGTGGGCTGCCAAAGTCCAAATCCCAGGAACTATAATGATTTATTATCAATGTGGATGGAGAAAAGGGAGAAAACGATACTAAGTATCATGTGTCTTCATTGTGGAGGGAGAAAAGGGTCAAAAGGAATAACATAATATAACCACCGTTTAAGCAATCTTTTTCAGAACCCAATCACTATGAGTTGGCTAAACTTTTGTTATTTCTCCCTTTTTTATTGCTTTATAGGGCTGGTTGTGAATTACACTATGCCTATCGTACATCCCCCATGATTTGGTAGATCTACTCATTTATAGGATACTGGCAATTTGCTATAGGCCATTATTAACAGACCATGCCATGACCAAATTTAAGCACGCAAACACAAAGGTTGGACAAACCCATTGTATAAACCCCTTACCCTCTAGAAGTCCATCGTATTTGCGCACATCTTCCGACAAGACCCATTTTATAAACCCCTGACCCTGCCAAGGCCCTCGTATTTGCGCACGCCCTCCACAACAACCCATGTTATAAACCTCTCACCTTGTCAAAAGTCCCTGGTATTTGTGCACACCCTACCACAAAAACTCATTTTATAAACCCCTCACCCCCATCGTATTTGCGCACACCCTCCCACAAAACCCATCATGTTATAGACCCCTCACCCTGCCAAGGCCAATCGTATTTGTGCACACCCTTCCACAAAAACCTTTTTTATAAACCCCTCACCATAGACTGGACTACTATGTATGATATGTAGTTTGTCAACCTGTGTTCGCTTCTGCTTCATCTTGCATTGATGTACATTACCCTACCCTGTAGAGTACAGAAGTTGGGACGAAGCTGAATGGCGAGGAGTGGGCTAGTTATCCCATAAACAGTGAGAAAGCACCCCCTAATACAAATAATATGTAAACTCTTTCAAAAGCTCCTTTTCATATTTATGCACCTAAAGGCTTTGCAAGCAGCAAGCAAATGATGCAGGATGCCCTGGACATGCACATACTTTTTCACTCTTATATACGTTGCCTATTCTTCAGACCGAAATTGAATGATACAGAACATGAAAAGATGTGAACGTGCAAGTGCGCAGAAGGTTTCAACCTAAGACAGGAGAGGGAGGGAGTGACAGACGAAAAGTAAGCCTACAACCTAACTTTTATGCTTGTAATGCAATGGAGGACTCAACAAGGATCGCACACCCATGATATTGTTCAATTTTGGTCACAACAATCTCATGGGTGTATTCTGTCTGTATGTATGCTACTTTACTCTGCGCTAACTACCTGGATAACTAGCCTAGTCTATTTTATCCTGCCATAGTCTTTGACACACTCATTTAAACTCGAGTTGCATCTTTACAATGGTTTCCAATAGTGGTCAGAGCCAAGATCAGATCTTTACACAGCCGACCAGACCTACCTTGTACTTTGTCAACCACAGACCAGTACTACTACAGTAATTTTACATTATATTATATTGTATTATATTATAGTTTATTATATTATATTGTATTATATTATATATTTTGTTATATACATGTAGTTTATCAACCTGTGTTCGCTTCTGCTTTATCTTTTACCCTACCCTATGTCACTTCTCCTGTTTGTCACCAACCTTGCTCTACATTTATTTGGCATAGTGTATTATCCGAGTCTTCTTCGCACAATCGTTTTTTTGAATAGAAAAAAGTAAAGTACAGCAGCTGGGACTGGGACGAAGCTGAATGGAGAGGAGTGGGCTAGTTATCCGATAAACAATAAGAAAGCACCCCCTAATATACAGTAACCAATATGTAAACCCTTTCATAAGCTCCTTTTCGTATTTATGTACCTAAAGGTGTTGCAAGCAAATGATGCACTCTAACGCTCTGCAGGATGTCCTGGAAATGCGCGTACTTTTTCACTCTTATATACTCTGCCCATTTACCCTAACTACTTTGTCCACCCGAGACCAGGACTACAAATTATATATTACATATATCATATATATATGTAGTTGATCAACCTGTGTATCTTTTGCCCTACCCTATACCACTTCTCTTGTTTGTATCCCACCAGGCTCTACGTTTATTTGGTAAGGTATATTATCCAAGTCTCATTGCATCTTTGGCACAATCGTTTTTAGAATAGAGTAGAGTACAGCAGTTGGGACGAAGCTGAGGAGTGAGAGGTCGTTATATTATACGTAAAGGTCCCCCCCACATATGAGCATCGTTCAAAAACCCACCTCTTCCTTGTTAGTGATCGAATTTCAAAGGCTGATTTCGAGTGTGCTCTCACTGCAGTCGCGAAAGGTTCGCGAAGGTCCTGCGAAAGGTCTGCGCAAGTCATGTTGGTGACCTGGCCACGCTGCAGAACAATTGCTCCTCAGACTTCCGATTGCTTTTTCCCGGGTTGGGAAAAAGCAAATTGGAAATCTGAAACAATTTTGCTTTTTCCCGGGCCGGGAAAAAGCAAATTGGAAGTCTAGACCACTTTGCTTTTTCCCAGCCCGGGAAAAAGCAAATTGAAAGTCTAGATCATTTTGCTTTTTCCCGGCCCGGGAAAAAGCAAATTGGAAGTCTGAGAAAACTGGCCTGACTGAGCCGTCTCTTGTTCATGGAGGGTTGCGCCCAACCAAAAACACACCAGCATGAAAGTGGCTTGGTTGGAAGTCTTGACCATTTTGCTTTTTCCCAGCCCGGGCAAAAGCAAATTGAAAGTCTAGACTCTAGACCATTTTGCTTTTTCCCGGCCCGGGAAAAAGCAAATTGGAAGTCTGAGCAAACTGGCCTGGCTGAGCCGTCTCTTTGTTCATGGAGGGTTGGGCGCAACCAAAGCCGGAAGTCTTGATCATTTTGCTTTTTCCCAGCCCGGAAAAATGCAAATTGAAAGTGTAGGCCGGGAAAAAGCAAATTCAAAGTCTGAGTCAAATTGGGAAAATCAGTTTATATCAGGGTTACAAAATAAAATCAAGGAGTTGTGGCCTAATGGATAAGGCGCCAGGCTCATAAGCAGAAGGTTGCGGGCTCAGTTCCCTCAGGATACATTTTGCTTTTTCCCGGGCCGGGAAAAAGCAAATTGGAAGTCTGAACCATTTTGCTTTTTGCCGGCCCGGGAAAAAGCAAATTGGAAGTCTAATACATTTCCATATCCAATTGCGGGAAAAAGCAAATTGGAAGTCTAATACATTTCCATTTCCAATTGCTTTTTCCCGACTCTTGGAAAATTCTTTGTCGTGGGAAACTGCGCAAGTATGGCGAAAGGTTCGCATTGTGGACGCGAAAGACGACAGGGCCAACCCCCACCCCACCCCACTCTTCTTGCTGGAAGCACGCGCTGGACACTCCAGCTGCAGATGCAGTCATAGCATGGCTCTACGGCTGTAAGTGCGCATACAACACGGTCGTAACTCCCGGGAAAAAGCAAATTGGAAGTTTGAGCCGGAAAAGCAAATTGGACATCCAATTTTCTTTTGTACAGCCTGTAAGCATGTTTTTCAGAGAGCTGTGGCCTAAAGGATAAGGCGTCACGCTCATAAGCAGAAGGTCGTGGGCTCCAGTCCCACAGGTGCTGCTTGTTTCCAGGCCGGATTCCAAACTGCAAGTCTGATACATTTTGCTTTTTCCCGGGCCGGGAAAAAGCAAATTGGAAGTCTGAACCACTTTGCTTTTTCCCGGCTTGGAAAAAAGCAAATTGGAAGTCTGAACCGTTTTGCTTTTTCCCGGGCCGGGAAAAAGCAAATTGGAAGTCTGGCCGTTTTGCTTTTTCCCGGCCCGGGAAAAAGCAAATTGGAAGTCTAGACCACTTTGCTTTTTCCCAGCCCGGGAAAAAGCAAATTGAAAGTCTAGATCATTTTGCTTTTTCCCGGCCCGGGAAAAAGCAAATTGGAAGTCTGAGAAAACTGGCCTGACTGAGCCGTCTCTTGTTCATGGAGGGTTGCGCCCAACCAAAAACACACCAACATGAAAACTGCTTGGTTGGCTGGCTTCCTGTTCCTCAGCAATCAATGTGTCAGTGATCAGAGGACACAAGACGTGCCAGGGCAACTGCATGAATCCTTGAAAGCCTCTAGCCCCAACGAAAAACCATTTTCGCCGACAGTGGTAAAACCCCACGCGCGAAAGCTTGCGAAAGCTTCGCGAAGGTCCTGCGAAAGGCTTGGAAAAAAATGAAAGGACTTTTGAACAACCCCCATATATATATGTATAGCCACTGTAATTATATATACATACCCGGAGGGACCTGTTTTAGACCACCAACCACCCAAAATAGGTGTTAGGTATTATATATATGTGGTTTTTATGTTATTTTTTACTATGCAGTATATATGTGGTATATAAGTATATACTTAAAATTGTTGTATCTAGAGAGAGAGAGAGAGAGAGAGTAAGTCCAAGTGATTCCCATTAGGAGTGGCAGTGAAGGCCCCGTCCCAACATTGTAGCGGATATCATCTCAATCTCACGTTGATTTCTCCCAGCAAGTTCCATCTTGATTGGTTCTCAGCCTCAAACTTTAGGTCGATGACCCTTCCGGCTAGTGGCCTACGAAGACCCTCAAGCTCGGAAGACCTGGAACTGGAACTATCAAAGCGTTGGGGGTTTTAAAACCCTGTGATGTCTTATGGTTTTATTATGGAACATTTGAGCAGATCATGTACACAAATTTTAAGTTACATAACACGAAAAAACATGTCTCTTCTTAGACTCTTATTCCACAAAAACCGACACCGTCACTCAGTAAAATGTAGTAGTGACGTCACGGTTTTTTGCTATTTTGCAGAATCCCATCTTCGCTTCTGGAGGTCCGGGAGCTTGAACCCAATGTCACCATGTGTGCCCGTGATGGGGCCCTGTGCCTCGACGATGTCCGGTCGGAGGTCGCGAGCCGCTTTGCCTTTCCGTTCGTTTCACTGTGTGTTTTTTAAATGAGATGGGGATGGAAAGCATGGAACTGGTGGGGATCCAAAATGCGAAAAATTTGGTTTTGGATTGCATGGCAGTGTGTAATCTGACTGATTTCTGAACTAAATAGGTTTGCAGGACTGTCAACATTGAGGGCTGGTGACAAATATTGAGCCTATATAAAGCCAAGAATATCCTTGAGATACCTTGAGTCCTAAATGATTTTCCATGCTTTTGCCATTCTATGTTCCAAACATTTCCAGAAAGTCTTTGATGTGGTGTCAATGATATGTTTCACTTCATTTGCCTAGATGCATGTTGCTCGGTGACCCACCCCACACCGTCTCTTCCCAGGATCGCCGCGGTGCGTCGCCAGTCCCTGGAGCTGCCGGAGAGTTGCACCGACGTGGTGGTCTCGGTGGGGGGCAACAACGCCACGGCGGCCACCACCACGGTGCTGGGAGGCGACGTGCCCAGTAGCGTGGAAGAGGTGCGGTGTGAAGATGGGATGTCGGCTGGGATGGAGAGAGATGAGATGAGATGAGATGGGTGTTCGGTGTTGGGATTGGAGTGCTGAGTTTCACCCAAAACGCCCGGAACTCACGCTGGCAGGTTGACCGTTAACTAGTCTTAAGTCGTTTCTTCCATGGATTGGTCAACCGGGGTCTCCCAGTCTCGACCCGTAGGTGTTGGGAGATCGTGTTATTTCTTTTGGGTTTGCGGATGTGAGCGTGGGATGTGTGCGGCAGTTTGGAGGGGACGATGATAACCGTTTTTTTTTGTGGTGCAAGTTGAATGCAACACATGAGGACTAAATAGTTCCACGGTCACCTGGGAGGTCCACCATTTTCTTAGAGGTGGGCAGTGGAACCCTTTCTCATAGATGATTCAAGTTTTGTTTGGAAGACATTTTGAAAAGTGCGAAGTCGAAAAGGATGAGCATGACTCAGGGGATTGACCGATTGCATGATCCCGACCCACCAACCTCCATACAGCTCTTCGCACCCAGAAAGCGCGCCTCAGGCGTTGTGTCGATTGTACACCTTTGCACAAGCCTTTGAAGCCGAATTTGACATTGAAATGACGGAACTGGCTCGCAGCATTGGCCCATCGCGGCGTTTGGTGATCTGTTCCTGTCACGTGGCGAGACAGACGTGCGACGTGTATGTCTTTGGGTGTGTGGAAGTAGTAGGTTGGGAGATCCATTGCACACATACAGGTCACATACACACACTAAAGCACTCTTCACAAGCCAAAAGACCTGCGAATCATCATGAACCATCCAAAAGGATCTCTTTCAAGGACCATCCATTTCCAAAGAACTGCTCCTCCAGCTCCGCCCCTTCTGAGGCTACAACCCCTGCTTCGCGCCTTTTAACGTCACCACCGTGTCTCAGCCCGTGGCGAACCTGGCGTTGAGCGTTTTGAGCGACGCCGTGCTACGTGTGGCCACGCGCTTGAGAGCACCGGTCATTGACCTGCGGCGAGTCATGACCAAGGCTGGTTGGATGGATGCACTGTCATCAACGTCGCTGGTGGGCTGGCTGGCTGGTTGGTTGGTTGGTCGGTTGGTTGGTTGGTTGTGTTTTGTCTTACAAAGGAACACCGCGCCACCAGGGTGGTGTTTGCTGTTGCTTATGCGTTTTTCATCTTTTTTCTCTGATGTTTGAACAGGTGCCATGCAGGGACCGGCAGGGACCCTTACTGTGTGCTGGAACAAACAACCCTTACACCAAGTCTGAAGCAAGTTTGACCCACAGATGCGTGTGGCTTTGCTTATGGGGCAAGAGGACAATTTCAACACATGCTGGTCACACCCTTCCATGGCTATGGCAAACCAATATATATATATATCAACATCAACATATATCATACAAATGCAACCATGTTGAGTCACATTGACCTCTATGTTTGGTTGCTTTATGTTGCTTGCAAGTCCATGGGTGCTTTGCTCGGGAAGGTCCAACCAGAGCCACATCCCTGACAGTCTGTGGGTTCTTCACAGACCATGCATATAAGATCATTTAAGTGTGTTGGAATAGATGCCCACTCTTTTTTTGGGGATTTTCGGAGGCTTCACTTTGCAAACGGAAAGACTCGTTGATCCTGCACCCTTGCAATAGTTGATTCAATAGACGATGCAAACCATGTCCTCCCTGCAGGTGGAGGACTTTGCCAATCCCATCGAACCCAGCAGTTTGGGCGGTGCAAAGATTGCGGCTGAGATCGTGCGGGTCGTGCGGACACATCCCTTTGAGTGCCTCACCAGCGTTATGTTCGAAATGGCTGTGGGTCATGGCACCTCATCCTACAAACCATTGTTGTCATGGTACCTCACCCCCTACAGACCATGGTTTAGGTTGACATCTCGAACGTTTTTCTAGAGGGATCAGGCCCCCTGTTCGGTGCGCAAAAATTAGGCCCCCCCTGCTTTGGCCCACTGCCAAATCTGCGCTTTGTATGTGTTGTGGTACTCAGATTCAGTTCCTGGTGAGTCGTGGTACAAAGATATAGAATTTTGTTCGATGGAGCATCTGTGGAGTATCCTTTCATTTGTGTAGGTTATAGACTAGTATTTTCAGGAATTCGAGGTGGGTCATACCACTTGCTGTATACCGTATACGGCTTTCACCCCTTTCATGGAGCTCAACACCGGCCCCGCCTTGGACGCTCGTCCACAGGTTCGGAACGGTGGTCTACCCCAAGGACTATGCGGACTCTGAGCTCGTACAGCCCCACGGCCAGACACCGAAGGGACGCGCTGAGACAGGGCTGGAAAAAGAGGTGTGCTTGTTTAGGAGGCCTGTCATGACCGAAACATCAAACACACCTGACTGTAGCGGCTAAGCATGTTTTTTTTTTTGTGTGTGTGTGGTTAAGCAAGTAGGCTGCTACTTTCACTTGGAATCTCCCATTGCTTAAGCAGCAGCTGTTGTGTTTTCTTGTCCAGAGGTTATACGCTCCAATCGTATAGCTGTATAGCTTTTGTGTGTGTGAAAACACGGAGGATACTGTAATCAGAGTTACCTTTTTGTTTCTGGACAATGTTTATAACATCCTTTGGAGCCCTTGGTCTCCATTTCCATAATGTCAGTTCCAAGAAATACCTTCATTCAGATACGGGACCTATGTCAGGGTCAACCAACCAACCAAGAAAGCGAACCCACCAACCTCACCAAGCAAGGACACCAAGCAACCAACTAAGCAACTAACCAAGCAAGAAAACCACAAGAAAAAACACACCAGCTAACAGCTCACCAACACTTGACCAATCGCCTTGACCAAGGCCCTTGGCACCAGAGGTTTTAGCCTGGCAGGGCCTAGCGACAGGGGACTCCTTACGTGGAGCTGGGAGCTGAACTGGGTCCTGGTCGTGGAGCTTTCACAAAGGCAGTTTGGATGTGTGTTTTGCCAAGATCAGCAAGGCTATGTGGTGATGTTGAATCACTTCGCTCTTTTTGTTGAATTCATGTTGTTATTTGTTCCCCCGCATGAATTTATTTAGTAATCTGGGGTTATAGCCTTCAGCCAAGTACCCGGCAATCATCCATATATGGTGTTTGTGTTTGTGCCCAAGCAGCGGGAGAGACAGCTTGGTTCCGAATACCTCAATATTGTTACTTTACTATAATTTGTTTTGGAATCGATGCATTCACAAGGTCTCCTCAGCAACATTTGAACTTTGTTCCCGAACTCACACTATCTGAAATAATTGTGGAAGTGGAACATGGCATCTTGGAAGACCATTTTCTTTGCAAGCAGCTGGTTTTCGCCACTTCCATGATTATTTCAGGGAGCGTATGTCGAATCATTGAAAAGCACATTTTACCCTGCCTGGGAGTCACCCACCACTTCCAAGCAGTTCACATGTGTCAATTTGGACACTTAGTGATTGGCCAACTATATAAGAAGGCACAATATGCTTGATGGATATTTTAAGCCTTGGAAGCTTCAGGACTCGTTTCATAGCATTCCGGGTGAATGCAGTCGCCCTGAGTGCGCAGCGTTTCGCTTGTACAGGCGCCAGTGATTTGCTGTGATAAACGTATCCATGTCCTATATCCTTGTGCAGACAGGAAGGTGGAAAAAGATCCACAGTGGTCTTGGTTTTTTAGCACGACCTTGTAGTGGATTTGTATCCGTCATTATACGTCAATCCAAAGTACGTACATCTGACTCTGTCGACACTAGTCTTTTGCATGATGCACCTGTTGTCGCATGTCATTACCATGAAATTATAATAGAAGTACCAAACTATGTAGTTATACATGATAATTCAACTATATTGTATTACATATTTAGATGATTAGATGATTAGAGTGATGTCCACTGTTCAATCAAAGCCCAGATGTTTGGCCAAAGCTTCGTCATTCCAGCCAGTCTACCTCACCAGGGTCCCCAGCTTCGTGGTCTCAGGCGGAGCCGCTGAAGCTTGACAGCCTACGGCCGTCCGCAGGCGGGCGTCCAGTGTGTCGGTCCGGGCGCTGGAAGAGAGGCAGAGACAGACATCACCAGCTGGCTGAAGTGGGCAAGGTGGACCAAGCAAGCCTAGACTTGGATAGATTTGGTTTTGCATTTTGGGTTTCTCCCCACTTGAGAGTAGTCAAATGGAGTGGTTCCGGACTTGGATGGACTTTGGAATTAGCGTCAGCTCCCATGCAATTTAAACGGCAGAATGCCAGCTCAAATGGATATGAGCGTCGGAAGTTTGTCGTTGTATATTGTATATGGGCCCTTTGCACGCTGGGAGCTGAAACTCCAACCCTGTGTTTATCTCAAAGTCTAGGTCCTAGGTTCTGAGGAAGGCCTAGAGTAGTCCTTGAGTACGGACGACAACACATTGATGCTGGAGATACCACAACTCCAATGCGGAAAAAAGACCTCAGATGCTCCGGGATGAATCAATCAAAACCGACCAATCAAGCAAAGAACCGCACCCTCCTTTCTTTTTTGTTTTTCGGATTTGTAAGGGCATTTGCACCTTTCTGTTGACCACCCTATCAGAAAGCTCCTCTGAAAAAGCAGCACACACGCTGTTCCCAGGCTTGGACAGCTGCACACACGACACGGGAGGGAGCTGCTACCTTTTCGGCTGTGAAGACGCTTGGCATCGAAGGTCAGACCAGACCGAGGCTTTTCCGACACAGACCTCAGACCGATGCGGACCGAAAGGTCTTAGAGAGGTGCGGAATGGTGGCTTTGACGGTTGGACGCGCGGGTAAATGATGGATGAACATTCCCACTCATCACACGCCTTGCTCGAATCTGTGGTCTGTGCAGACTCCAGTGTTCTTTGGTGGTGAAGTCGTCCAGCATATCCCATGCCACTCCAGCTGACACGTGATGTGCCGCGTGTGAAGAATGTTTTAAATGTATAATGCTCTTGCTGCATGTCTTTAAGAGGTAAACAAAACGAGCATGTCATCACCCTTAGATTCACATAGATTCACGATGGCCCAGAATGACTCGATATTTGGCAAAACATGCATAACACTATTATTACATCCAAGCATATTCGAGCGCAGAAACGGCCTTGAATATGAAGACAACATATCCAGAGAGAGAGAGAGAGAGACATAAATAGAACTGTAAGGAGCGGTTGTTCTATATCCATGGGGTGCTTTGAGGTTTTCTGATGTGTATTGAGGTGTCTCACTGCCCATTCGTCTTTGCGCTCCCAGGACTGGCGCAATGCCCAGTGCGTTCACGGCCAATGCCTTTGTCGCTCTGATCAGTCTAGGAGCCCAGTCTGGTTGTGTTGAAACAACATCGTGCTGGGCACGTGAGGATGGGCGATGGTGATTCACGTAAAGCTTTGCTTCCCTTTTCTTTTCTGGCTCAACCAGCAGCGCCTAGCGGGGTTTTGCCGTCTTTGTCGACCACATAGCTCATGGCATGGTAGTGTCCGAAGAGAATCTTGGAAGATGGTGAACAAAGATGCCTGAAGCCTGATTTGATAATGAACTGCTTCTTGTTTCTTGATTCATGTTTTGCAGGCCAGGGTCTGCATGCGACGTTTTGGCGCCGTCGTGATGAACGGGGTCCGTACACACCCCGTCAGGTGTTCGGTGGGCGGCGAGTGTGTGCCAGAAAGATGGACCAAACAGTCTCCTGCAGGCAGGGGTGCACATGAGTGGACCACATGGATCGTTTTGTTCGGAGAGGTCGCTCGTCTTCCCACCCTGTGCACTGAACAAGTGTTCCACTTTGCCAGGTTGCTCCTTTTTTGCGTCCTCTACCCTGCCCCTACGCGCGCGCGCACTTGGGGTAGCGATGCCCTTTGCTTCGTTCGTAGCGTCCCGATGGGGCACGATGAGGTCCGGCGGGTTCTTCGTCACGACATGTCACGACGCCCCTTGTCAGTGGAGAGTCTGTTTCTGGCTGGAGCACCAGAGGACACCATATGGAAGAAGATAGACCATGTATGCAGGCAAAGAGGCTTCCCCTGACCCATATTTAGCACACACATATATGCTATGCAGTTCTACCAGACACAATACATCACATTAAATACTACTGTGAGATTCAGGGAGAAACAACAGCTGGTCTTTTGTAGCTTTTGTGTTGCTTGGTCAACCCCCCTGACAAGCACCTTCGGCAAACACTTTAACACTTGTTAAAAAGCTCTGGGTCAAATCAAATCAGCAATCCTTCGCCAGTCTCAATTCCTGGGCCATCCTTTGCCCTCATCCTCCAAGCACTCCAAGAACAGGATGATGGTCCAGTACTGAAGCCAGCCTTCTTGATTTCATTCTTGAGCTTATGGCCCTCAACTGGAAGGCTACTATTAGACTGATTTCCCCTATATAATATTAATATATATATAACAAATAAAACCAACATTAATTGATTATAATTGTTTCTAATTGGGGATCATTAGGAAAAATTGAAGATCATTGGAAAACATAAGTGCAGATTATTGAGAAATATGAGGACAAAACACACATCATCCACAATCTCAGCACACTCATTGCTGCCTTTGTTCTGCTCACTTCTTGTGATATGCCTTTGGGGCAGGGATAGCCTTGATGAGTGGCCTTAGGCCATCAATCACCTCTTCAGCTATCACCCCTGGCTCCTGCACATTTGGATATCCTGTAACTGCCAAATCAGGAACATCTGTACCTAGAGTGAATCTGCTCCAAGCCCAGGAGTGGACAAATTTCAATTTGTCTATCCAATCCTGTTCATTGCACTGATCAAAGGTCTTGCTGCAACTATGCTTTGCATAGTCACCCTTCCAATGAATGGACTGTGGTAAAGTCCTTTTGAATGAAGCTGTAAACCGATGGTCATTTTGGTTCAGGATTATCCTGAAGTGTGGACCATCCAACTTTGCCATCAATTCAGGTGTACTATACACCTTCACCCTTGGCTCTCCACTGGAAACACCCTTAGATCAACAACCACATGGACAAGGAAGGCAACCTAAAAGGTAGCCTTGCCAAAATTACACTGTCTGAAAAGTGCCAAATAAATTCCTGAAAGGTGCCTTAGATACAGCAGCATTTTTAGCTGGAGGTGCTGCAGCTGTGGAACTGCTGGATGGCTGGCCACCATCCTTAGATAGATCAGCAAGAACATGGAACATAATGCCAACCTAAAAACAGACACATCAACATTACAAATTAATGAAAGGTACCTCAGGTGCAGCAACAACTTCAGCTCCAAGTGGTGCTGAAGACATGGAACTGCTGGGTTGTGCTTCAGCTTCACCTGGTGTTTTTGGTGGGCTGGAAGCTTGAGCCATGGTCCCTGCACTACAAGGGGGTGCCAATTGGTTGGGCTGAGGTGGTGGGGAGGGAATTGGCACAGCAGCGTCTGCCATTGGTGGGCTGGCTGCTGTTGCTTCTGTAGCTGGTTCATCATTGCTTGTTGCTGGTTGTTTTGTTGCTTCAGGATGAGCTTCTGCCATTGGTGGGCTGGGTGCTGTTGCTTTTGCAGCTGGTTGAGCATTGCTTGGCGCTTGTGGTTCTGTCTCATCCTTGTTTGTTGCACCTGTCCCAGCCTGGCTTGTTGCTTGTGGTTTTGCTGTTGGTGTTGCTTCTGTTTTTTGGTGCCTTGTCTGCAGGTTCTGATTCTCCACCTGCTGAAGCTTTTCTTTTTACACCAACTTTAGTCTGAAACTTACCCCTTGCTCTCCCTCTCCCCTTTCCACTGCCTTTGGGCCTCCCTCTGCCCTGTCCTCTCCCTCTCCCTTTGCCTCTGCCCCTCCCTCTTCCTCTTTTTGGTGCAAGAAGCCAGCCTTCCTTCAATTCTGTTTGGACTTTTTTTCTTTTCAACTTCTCTTTTTCTTGTTTTATGTTTGGGTCCCCAGTGTTCTCAATGCCTTCTACAAGGTCTAGCAACTCTTCAAAGT